TTACCATCTGGGGTAGAGACGGATTTTGATTGCTTCTTCGGGCATTTTCGACGCCGATGGCTATTTTTAACGTTATAAAAGACGGCAAACAAGCACAGACAAACAAACATTGCAAATTGCAAATTGCAAATTGCAGTGAGGATCTCGGGAGTTATTGTCTGAATCGCAAACAAACCACTGTGGCGCATTTAACGAAATAAAAATTTTTGATGTGTGGTAGTTTTTCCATCAGCTGTAATGGACGGTATTTGGGGGCAAATACCGGAAACTCACAGTAATTAGTGGTATCAGGCCGTCGTGTCATTAATAATGCTTCTGGAAGTGAAACCTTGTCAAAAATGGTAGAGCAAATTGTGTTTATTGACTCAATGGGGTTAATTAAATGTCAACAATTAACATTATCTGCCTTGAGCACGGCGAATGCGAGCGTTTAGATGTTGATTCAGTTTAATTAAGTTGGTCGTTTTTTATGATTTCTCCACGAATATCGGTCACTAAGCAGTGAAGGGGTCAGTGAAGTGCCGGTGCAACGGCAGCCATTTCCTCGATCTTCGACTAATTGAAAATGGAGGCGAGCTCCTGGAATTCTCTCGCATTATCCCGGATTAAATCAGCGAGACACAATGGCGGAAATCATTTATATGTAATAAATATTCGGTTGCGATAATGGGATTGTGAGAGGACCCGTGTAAATTCGGTCCAGCTTTATGCCAGACTAATTGTTAAATCTAATAGATTGGGGGTGCAAATCAGATGAGTGGCTGTTCTATCACGAATTATTTACACTGGATGCGCAGCAGTTCGCCTCCGGTTGCGAAAATTGTACTATACAAAGACTTTAGACTTCCTTTGAGGGCGTCGAGTGTTATTTGTTTTACTCGAAATTAGCTTTGTGTTAATGTGTTTGGGTTATACTTTATATAGGAGAGGCGTTGTGGAAAACGACGGAAATTTATTCGATTTGCTGCGATCCAACGAGACGAAATATGCGATGCATGGCCTGATTACGCACACTACACTTAGCGCCCAAATTAAGACAATGATTTGCACAGAATTAGATTTTGGACGAAAAATGGTATCGAATGTTTGCTTCAGTTTCTGCGATTCGACAAACTTACTTTAGAGAGGCGAGAAATCTAAATTTAAACGCATAGAGAATAATCTAAGATCAAATATAGCAATTAACTTAATAGCAAACATTTGGTTTCCACGATTTAGTTAACTAAATATATAAATACTGTGGTTCAGTGCGTTCTTTTACTTATTTATTTTAAAATGTCAACAGCATTTTGCATGTGATGCAAGTCTTTTTTTAAACTACTTTCAGTTAGCTTTTCTACCAAAAGGCTGAACGACTACACACAAAAAGAATAATTAAATTGACAGTTAGAAAGTGTAAATTGCCAGACAGTAACTGGCAATTAGTAACTCCAAAAGTCATTGTTTGATTTTCGAATTTTTTTGACTAAATTAATAGAGAAACACATGGGATGAAATAACTACAGACTACTTTAAAATAAATAAAAAAAACTCTCACGGAAATTAAACAATAATTACAGAACAGCTGAATTATTTGCTTTAAAACATGTATAGATTTCACATAAACAGCTAGACACACCACATATGTGATGTTAGCAATGTTTTTTTTGATTTTTTGATTTTCTATTTCTATTTCTCACCCCCTAATTAAAAAGCGGTAATTTTATTTGGTATGATTTAAAATACCTAGGGCATTAAATACACGTCTTAGAAAACAACATATCCGAATATAGCAATTTTTTGCATAAAGTGGCCAAAACTCACCCCCTAAGTGTAAAATCTCTAAAAATTGATTACGAACTTTACATACACATCTCCATACATAATATATTCAAATCTGGTAAAATTTGTTGTAAAGTTACCAAAAATCACGCCTTAAATATGAAATATGAAAAACAGAATACGGCCATCATATACACGCCTCAAAAAACTACACTTCACAATTTGATGAATTTATTCTAAAAGGTAGAAAAAGTCACTCCCTGTGGGTGAAATCTGTACTCTTATTATCTGGCAATTGCTACCAACTATCTGGCAATTTTGTTGACAATTTTTGTGTGTGTGACTTTTTACCACTTTCGTAAAAAATAAATACTTCGAGTTGCGTAAAAATAAATTAAATTAAATTTTCCTCAACGTCGATGGAGACGACTTTTTTATTTAAAATTAAAAATTTCAATTACTCAAGACCTCTCAAGTTTTTTTATGTTTTTAATTTGAGTTAAGAGATGTTTTAATCTAGACATTTTTTACTCCATCATAAGAAATGAATAGAGTTTTAAAATATTGATTTTTTTATCTGAAATATCTGAATAGGTCATTTCTTAATTTTCTTAGACACATAGTAAATCTTGGTATCTAGTTTTATTTTCTCCACTAAATACAATTTTTTAAAAATCGACTTGGACCTTTTAATTTCTGATTCTTCATTTATTCTTCATCTATCTTCTCCAAGCAGAAATGTTTTTTCAGTAGTCATTTTTAAGCTTTTAAGTTGCAAAATCGACTTACAGGGCGTCACAAGTAAAATTTGCGTTCAAGTTTGGAAACAATGCTGAAACAGGTCAATTTTAACAAAAAAAATTAAATAGCAAGATGGCTCGAGTGACACATTTTGATGGTATTTTGTGCAATATCTACGTATTCCTTGAATTGAATTGTTTTTTTACAACCACTTCTGTTTCCACTTAAAAAATCGTTCAAAATTGAAAAAAAACGTGGTAGCATAGACAATGAAAGCAACTTCAAAATGACAAAATGATGTTACTCGACCCCTTCTGCTATTTAAATTCTTTGGCGGGATGGCTCTGGGCGTTAGAGGGATGTAAAATGACTTTAAAAGTTTGATAAAATTTGCTCCCACATAATCTGTTTCAGCATTTTTTGCAAACTTGGCTGAAATCGGAGATTTTAGAGGGACAGCCTGTATGTATATAATAATAGACAAAGTAATAAAGGGTTGAAGGCTCACTTTACCGAATGAAAAAGGCGCGTCTTGGCAAGCCATTGAAAATTCGTGATGAAGAAATCGCGTGCAAGAAATGCATTTTCAGCGAAATGATTAGTATGTGGCCCCACATTGAGTTTAAGCCAAGTCACATCTCCAAGAACCGCTTTTTGCTCAAATGTTGACAAAGCTCGGTTTTTGCCAAACTCGCTTCGTGTTTACTTAATATTTGAATAAGTTTTTTGTATGCTTTTACCTCGGCGGCCTCGGAATTGTAACCGAGCCACTTGTGAAAAGAATAGTTTTTCGATGTAAAAATCAGATTTAGACGCGAGTGGCGTTTGACAAATCGTCAACAATTTGTAAATCAGGCCGAGTTCGGATTAAGCATTCGCGAAAAGCTTGTTTCTGCAATATAATTTAAGAAGATTGTACGGTTTTAAATCGGCTTAATGTTTTGTAATTTTGAAGGCAAACTCGTCCGGACGTATGGAAAAAATTCGCGTTCACTTATTCATCCCTCACTGTCGAAAGTAATCACATTATATTTTGCGCGAAAAAACGGTTTTATTCCGGAGCCCCTGGAAGATTTTATTACGGAAATTATCATAATGCTATATACAAATTTCGGCGTGTCAAGAGCAAGCGATCGCGCTCAAAAGCTCCGTGCAGATGCGATACAAACTAATTTATTTAATCTGAAAAAGCTCAGTCTACCGTGTAAAAAGTGGAACGATATGCAAATATTTTCTTTGTAATATACCAAACTATGAGATATTAAGGTAACAAATTTACATGAGAATGGAATAAATTGACGGGCTGCTGTCGTGATGGATCGCTTGAATAGCCTAAATATGAATGGATTTTTATTCTCGAAACAAAGGCCACGAGAAGTGACACTTAATTACGGCTCTCGAAAGGTGCTTCATTTAATAAGAAAAGGGGTGGCGCGCCGTGGGGGCGCACGTAATCACCTTATATTAGAAATCATTCGTCAATTTTGACACTTTATGGCCGGGGCGAAGCGTCAAGTGTATTAAAATGCAATAACTCATCGTTGAGGAGATTACCAAACGTGTGTCCAATTTTTCGCGGAAAATAAAACCGACCTGATTGCTCCATTTACACAAATGTGGCATTCTCTCGTGCGGTTCTATTACGACAATGCTTTTTATAGTTCTCGTATGAAAACGGAAAGTGCTCGTGAGCCACTTGTTACAAACACAATAAGAAGCTCGCCTCCACTTAAAACGAGCCAAATCTCCGCTTATAAAGGCCAGAAGATTACATTGCAGCTTTACAAGTTTAAAGCTTTTAAATATATAGTTGCCCATCAATATTTTTTTCTCAATTGGTCCGATGATCTACACCAAGTTATTTAAAATGAATCGGGTTGTCGGGAACGCTGTTTGATAAATAGTTAAAAGAGGGACCTCGTTCCGGGCCCGGAATATTTTCCGATATTTATAAAACGACGTGACATTTTTAATGGATACGTCACCGCGGGTTACAATTTGGCCAAACGCGAAATATTTCATCGGTTTAATCAAACTTCGGTTACAACACCCGACACGGGACAAATCACAAACTTTCACCGGAATTTTCCGGACGCACCCACCTCGGAAAGAATCGAACCTTTCATTACATTTTAATTAATGTCGGGGGCTCTATTTGCATTATTAGATGGCTAATTTCTTTGAGGCTCCGCTTTATACTCCCGAGTTTAATTAAATACTCTAGTCACCTACAATTTTGCATTAAATTCAAATTAAGTTTTCATATCGGCGCTCTTGTCTTTAATTAAAACCAGTGATTTTTTTAATTTGAATTAAGCGCCCGATATTTGGTTAGAAACGGGGGCTAGTTTTGGTGGAATCCGGGAGCAGGAGCGCTCTAGCGGTCGGCAGCTGAAACTCGATTTTCAGGTTTCAGGAATCTTGCAAAAGGGCGTGGAAATCCTGTAATTCGTTTTGGGAAAGTCTCTTTGTTCTAAGATGGGTCTTTCTAATTTCAGGTAATTCCGGAAGTTACCGGAGGTATCCTGTCATGGTTTTTATTCACGGCGAGTCGTTTGAATGGAATTCCGGGAATCCGTACGACGGTAGCGTCTTAGCCGCGTATGGGAAAGTGATCGTGGTTACGCTCAACTATAGATTGGGGGTTTTAGGTAAGTTACGACGATGGTTTTATGCGAAAACAATGAGGGAGAGGGATGGTTTTCCCAAACTAATATCAGAAGAGTCGTATTCCATATAAATATCATCGTCGAGATATACATCATCTTTCAACGCAAAACTGAATTAGGACCCGAGAGATTTATCTGAGTTTCTTGTTCGAATCGATGGCTGAGGCTGGAGTTGTTTTAAGCATAAAGTATAGCTTTTTAGAAATTTATGAATGGAAACATTGAAAGAAGCTTTCAACATTGTGTCTCTTTTTAAACTTTTCCTGCTTGTGACAGCGCAAATCGCTATAAAATAGACACACAAAAACAAATCTTTACAAAATTCGAGATAATTAAACTTAGCGGTCATGACCGCTTTGATCGCCCGACCATACATTTTAAATTCTCTATTTTTAGTTCCTTTCTCGAATATTTCAAACAAATTACGTTTTCTTTGTTTTGCGTTTTGTTATGCAAAGTGCTGCCACTTTTTTCATTTATTTCTCAAGCCTAAACTTTCTTAAATGATACAAAATTGAAAATGGGGATATTTAGCTTCTTTGAAATGCGAAAACTGCGACTAAGTTTCCGCTTTGAGGGAAAATTGTGGCGCATATTTTAAAACATCAAACGAGAAACGTTAAAGTCTTTAACACACTATAAATAAGAAAGGTTCCAGCGGAAAGTAGTTTTATTTCATTACTAATAAGGAGCTTTATTACGCAAAAGAACTCAGCACCGAAGTAAATATATAAAACTTAAAATAAGTTTTTTTACCTCTTTTTCTACTTTTTACAACAATTTAAGCCGTGGATGATTTAATTTAAGTGTCGCTCATATATTAAAAGTGCTAATTGTGTTCGTATGAGATTTGAATGGGTTGGAAAGCCGAACTCTGGATTTATGTTAAAAATAGTTTGAGTTTTTTTCTTTATTATTCCACAAATTATGCACATTTCAAGAGCATCGGCTCATAAAAGAATCATAAGGACCAAACACTTGGCGATTGGGAACTGAATCGAATCTAACATTTCCTGATGCAAAAATAATAGAGCTTCAAGATGGTGCAATTCTGACATTAAGATGTCTTCATTGATTTTCTTTAAAAAGTGCAAGATCAATTTGCGCTCAAAACGAGATGATTATTATGGTAGAAGTCTTATTATCGTAGTGTTGATTTAATTCCTCATTGGGGAGGTATGTGGTAGATGAAGCTTGCAAAGTGCATACTTAGCCATAAAGGCCTTGAAATATAAATTTCCCTCAGCGGAAATCAAGACGGCGACCGGGCGAACACATTTACAACAACAAAGAAAATTCCGTCGCGAGTAAAAAGATGAAATCTCGCTTCGTATATATCGCGGCCATAAAAATGACAGGTTTTTGGCCGAATATTCCCACAATACCATTCGCACGCGATCCATATTATTCGACCCTGTGGGACTCCCGGCGTCGTTCCTCTCCCTCGACTTTTCCGATTTAATTTTCGTCGCGTAAATCATCCGATTGTTGGTGGTTTCTCTTTCAGGGTTTCTCAAAGTGGGCAGCGGAGACTACTTGAAGAGCAACTTTGGATTAGTGGATCAGATAGCAGCCCTGCTGTGGGTCAAGGAGAACATCGCTGAGTTTGGCGGCGATCCCGACACTGTTACGTTGTTCGGACACGGAACGGGCGCGGTCTGCGCCAACTTACTCATGCTCAGTCCGGTCATCCAGCAGGAACACAACAAAAGTAAGAAAAAGCACAAAAGTGCTGCTTCTCATATTTTCGCAGGATCCGGCGACGCCGAGATATACAAAAAATGGAAATGGAGATGCAAAGCGCCAGATCTCGATGCTCGAGCGATCGCCAGCAGGATTGGAACTAAAGTGAGAAAAACGCGTGTCTTCGGCACACAAAAACGAGATCCGCCGAGCAGGAAGTCAAAAAATTGCAGCAATTTAACTAAACCAACAACAAACATTATTTATGCTTTTGTGATACTTGATGGCAGGATGATTCCACTGTTACTGCAAAAACTTAAAATTACAATCTAAAAAGGCAAAAAACAATTTTAATATTTTTGCTTTAAAAAGAGAGCTTTTGTAGCAGGAATTATTGTCGAAATGAAAAAGATTCAATAAAACTTTAAATAGTAATTTTAATGTCCAGCACGACAAATTTTAATTTTTTTCTTAATTTTATTTTTTTTTTGAATCTGTTCTAGTAGAATAGTAACAGTTTAGCAGGAAAACATTACAAAGAGGTATTTGTACAATTTCCTGCCATTACAAGCAGTAAACCGCTTTTGATGGCCTGAAAGAAAATAAATGTTGAGCAAATTCGGATTGTTTGATTTACGAGCGATGTAGTTTTATAATGTCCGGGTGTATGTGGACCGCAGATAGGTTTGATGAGGTTATTAACGCAACCACCAAATTTAACATAAAACCTATTACTCCTGCTGTTTGGTTTGGGAGGCTGCGACCAACCAACACGCAAATATAAAGGACTTTGAAAAATGAAAGCATGCATAAAATTGAGTTTTATTTATTTAGTACTAGATTATGAATTTTTGTAAAACAGAGATAAAGCGATTAGTCGAGTCACAAATCAAATTTTGGAAAATATCAGCTATACGTTTCCTGACGCTCTGTTCACATGAAAAATCTCCCAAAGATCCAAAAATAAACGGCTATTGAATGACCGAACGTGATATATCGCAACATTAAAATAGAATTGTCCTCGAAATATGCACAGATAGGTAAAAAATGAAAAATGTTGTAATTTCCGGCCTCACGGGAAATGCACCAAAGAATTAAAATTTTCAGCTCTTTTTCAACGTGCGATTCTGATGGGGGGCTCAGCCTTGTCCGACTGGGCTTTAGTCAGTAAGCCCCTCCACGTGACTTTCCAAGTTGCCAATGCCCTCAATTGCCAATTCGGGAAAGACTTCGCCGACTGTCTCCGTCGACGGCGACTCGACGAGATTATGACAGCTGCTGAAGTCTCCTCTTCGTTCCAAACCGTTTTCGGACCGGTTGTCGACGCTGTGGTCCTCCCAAACGAACCCAAGGAGCTCATGACGACCTACAGTGATATTTTCCGAAGGTCTCACAAGTGGTTTTGCAAAAATTGTTAATAATTCAAGATTCCCTCAGGTTCGAGTTAATGTACGGCGTGACTGAGCTCGAGAGCATCCATCTTCTCCCAGCCGACGCTCTCAAACAAGGAATGCTGGAGAAAGATCGTGACCAGGCATTGAGGAGGTATCTGGAGTCGCGCTGCGAGATCAAGCCGGATTGGTGCGTGACACGCACTCTAGCTGAATACACACAACTGGATTTCATGGAAGATGAGAGCTTTGGGGGGTACAGAGACGAAGGGTTTGATAAGGCGTCAGCGGCGAGAGATGCCCTTTTGGACATTTTATCGGACGCGAGGACTGTGGCACCCATGGTGCAGATGGGGCAGTACCACTCGGCCCTCAACAGAGGGTCCTTTTTCTACGTCTTCACGCACAAAACCATGTCCAAGGAATATATCGTAAGATTTTCCGACATTACTGATTTTCAATCTGCGATAAATTTCACGACTTCGAGTAGAAAATTCCCCTTAAGAGCCGTACGTATTGGCTAAGGACGTTACCTGTCCCAGGTGTCGCATTATCATCCTTAAATGACTAGACGTAATCCATGCGCTTTACGATTCTAATAAAGACGGCGAGTTTAATGGTGCGGAAATTTATTTTTAAATTATTTTTCTCCGAGTTTTCAATTTTAATCGTATTTTACCTTAAAGTTATTTTTTGGACGACTCTCGTTTACAAACAACCTTTCTGTAAATAGCACTCGATGTGCTTCCTGTCGCACAATTAAGCCTCCAAAATATATAAATAGGCAGCTATTTTGATGTTTGTAGAGAGACAAGAGCTACACTGGGGAAGAGTTGCCATACGTGTTTGGAGTTCCTCTGGGGGGATCCAGGTTCCACTTCACGGATTATTACACCGAGAAAGAACGACTTTTCTCTGAAGTAATGATGACTTACTTTTCAAATTTTGCGTATACGGGGTGAGTAATTATATTTTTACAAATAAAATTAATAATAAAAAACTGGTAGGGACCCAAAAATGCCTCGAAAGAACGAATATTACACTTTAAGTGTCAACGATTGGATTAATTTTGATGTAGATTGGCCACCATTTGACTCCGAACAACAACGGTACTTACAATTGGGTACTACTAAACATTTTTTTTCCTCGACGTAATCAAAAATTTTCAGGAATTCCTCCACACAGAATGAGCCACTACCGACACGACAAAATGAAATTTTGGAATGAGGCTGTTCCGGAACTCACCACAAACATTACGACTCCACTTTCAAAGAAACCCATGCAAATACCTCCAATTTTTCCTCCTCGCAAAACCCCTCCATGGATTCTCACACATCCTCCACGTAAAACAACATACATGGACAAATATGAGAATTTCCACAAACCCTATTATGGCGTTGTCAGAGTTACTGGTACCTCTCCACCTGACAACATACTAAATAACGTCGTGTATGGTACTGAAATCAAATCACCAAGTCCTGTCTCTGAACCAGAGAGTAAGGGAATTTCGACCACTGTCACTATAGCAATGTGTTCAATTTTTCTCCTTTCCAATCTTTGCCTTTTCGCGGTTTTGTACATAATGTGTTACCGGAAGCGTAAGCAAAACGGTCAAAAACCCGACGAGAATCCGACTGCTCCGGACGAAGAAACCGGAAGTAAGCTCATGGATGGGTGCAACTTGATGAAAATTGTCTCAAAATCAGAAAGGAGTGAAGATACTTATGAAGCAGTGAAATCTCACAGAAGTGGAGGGAGGTTCAAAGTATCTCGTCAAATGTCAAGTAGTACCATCGATGCCCATACCAAAGTACGCGATTGGATAACAAATGAAATTGTTTACAAGTACAGTCCTAGAATTTTGCGACGGCCGAGACAACCTCAAGACAAATCGCAAGAAAGTAAAATCCAAACTACTCCTCTAGATGATAAAAATTCGACTTTGGGGCGCAGCCCAACGCGCCCTGTGAGTCCGATACTGGCCGAGGAACCGCCCAAGACCCGCCCACCACTCGTAAAGTCGTCTAGTATTCCAGTGCAGAAAAGTCGGGTCGAAAAAGTGTCAGTTGCCATTGATGCCACGCCCTCGGGTCGTGGGCCAAGCGTTCTAGCCCAACAACCAATCGAATTAACCAAGTCTTTGGACCGGCCTAATTTTGACACGCCTCTTCGCCGGTCCTTAACTTTAGACGATTTCACGATGATTCAACCGAAGCAAGAGTTGAGGAAAAGTACCACTAGTATCAACTTGAAATTTCCTCAACCTGATTCAACTGTGGTACGAATCGAACACTCCCATTCAAAGTCTGACCCAGTGCAAGATTTTACTCCCCGTAAATTGCTGACATTTGATCCCAACTCCGACGTAAATGTAACTAGTCGAGACGAGGAAGTGAAGGTTCCATTGACTCCGGAAGAGTCCCTGATGACGATCAAGAAACGGAATTTTCCAAAAGTCCTCCCGGATTATCCTTCTCGGGACGCATTGGCTAAAAAGAGGCGTTCGATGCCCGTGTCACATCTGGTGTTTTCAGCAATTCCTGAATTGCCCCGGAAACCTGGAAAGTGCTTTGGTAAGTTACCCCCAGCTCCGCCTTTGAGGACTACATCGACTTTGAGTCGGAAAGCTCCTAATCAGACGCCAGTGTGCCAATCAGCTCCGATGCTAGCTCAAGAGCCGCCGTCTTCGCCCGAACCGGAAGTTGCTTGTAATAATTTGTACGTGGGTCCTTTGATCCCTAAGTTGCACAAGACTGAACTGAGTTCGTCCGAGAGTTCAAAGTTAAATACGCAGCCGATTTATGACAAGTTGCGAGTGGCTAGAGGGAGTGAAAAGACGACTAAAGGGATTGCTAAAACTATTATCACCACTGACCCGAATCAGCCGATTAAGAAGGTCGAACCTAAGGTTATTATCAAACCGACGATGGCGAGGAATGTCAGTGATCCCAAGAAGCACATACCGAGGGTCATGCTGCGAGAAGACGAGGAGAAGAAGCCGTCGTTGATCCCGACTCTTGTGAAAGGAAAAGAGTCCTCGAGCGAGGAGTCGACTCCTTCCGAGGAGTCAGACACCGGGACTGTGGTTAAGAGATTGTGACTTATTTTACAGTATTTAAGCAGTATTTAATGTGTTCGCGACTTTTGTATGTGCATAAAATAATAAGATTTGTAGACCGACTTGTGTGTTTTCTCATCAAACATCAGGTTGGAATTCAAAGCGATCGAAAGTATTCAAGAGGGAGGACAAGACCTCCGACTGATATCCCGAAAATAACATTTCCAACAGTCGCGTAAACGGTATGTACGTTGGTTTTCACGAGATTCGATCGTTTGATTTCCATACATATTGCTTTCTGATATAGGACTTTGCTACTGTTTGGGTCTGTTGAGGACAAAATGATTTTTTGGTGTAAAATCTATCGATTAAATTAAAATTTTAATGTTAAAAATGTTAAAATGTCGACATTGTGAAAAAGGGAAAAGTAGCAAATAAAATAAAAATCTCTCGTTGGCTATTTACGCTGGTTTTGTCATGAGTGTTTACCGTAGAAATTCGCATTCGCATTACCTGCCCTTTTACCTCGCTGATGCGATCAGAGCACTAATGGCCGAAAGGAAATCTAATTACCGAACGCCATTCACGCATATCTGCATGGACAGAAAGCAATTTTTGCGCTCTTGAACAAAAAATTGTGACCTTTTTTGAAGCTAGAAAATATTTTTGCCCCGTTTCAGATAAGACAAAATAGCCGATATCATATATTAAATTTCGTCTAGAAGACTGAAACTTTATAATAAAAAGGTCTAGAACAGTGCATTAGAGCGAATTCCGTCGTTGCAACGGTCGATTCGGTGTCAAAATCGGGTCATGTCGCCGTCGGTGTAGGTGAATTTAGCGATAAAGCGTCGTTTCGGTTTTTGCTTTTTGTGTCTAAGTTGAGATTGGGGGAAACTTTGCACTTACCTTGAAATCGTCAAGGGACATGTTCCGGCTTATCGGTCGTTAAATTTCCGCCGGGTCCTGGCCTTTACTTCACGATAAAATATTTTGTTCATTAATTGACACTTAGGGACGACGGAAAATATGAAATTTAGAAATAAAGCCAGCAATTTTAGTTACAAAACCAACAACACGAGACGATCTCAAATCCAATATTAACAGAATTAAATCGGAAGATGGCAAATTTGCTTTGCAAATTTGCATGATCATGAAAATAATGGAATATTCATGTAAGTAAAAAGGAGATGCTTTTTAGTAATTAATCTTTATTAATAATTAATGTGTCACATTATTTAAAACATCTTTTAACGAGTCTTGGAAACGTGAGAGGCGGGCCCTCGCACGGTTCGCCGACAAGTAGTTCCAAAATTCACCGAAAAATTGGTTATATACTTGCATTGGTTTGTATATACAATGTCTAAAACTCGCTGATTGTTTAATTACTAAAATTAGACTAGGATTAGATTATTTTTTCGTTGAAGTTTGAAACGGGCTACACTTTTTTATATACATTTTTTTATATAGATTGTCCACTTTGTTCAACACTTTGCAGAAAACAACTTCGGCGCACAGAATTAAAATACTTTGGCACAAGTCATCATTCAGATCGAAGTATAAAATTTGCTAAATTGGCAGTAATTTATACGGGAGGGAAATTTTTAAATGTATTCAAGTTTGTCGAGGGGAAATAATGGAAATCTTCAATGCAATACTGGTGGCGGTGGAAGAAACCTGAATAATTTAAAAATTTTCACAAGCACTGAAATTTAACTAATGATAGGTTTGATCAACATGATATAGATTCGAATAGAATAACAAGAAACAAATTACATTTTGTTTGACTTCAATTTTTCGCTAATTTCAAAGCTGGAAATTAGCATGGGACAATTCGGGTCCCAAACTGATTTCAAACAAACTTCAAATTTAGCTTTCTTATATCGTGAAACTGAAGTGAGTTAGGCGTCGAATTTCGAACATTCGATTTATTTATTCATTCCACAAAGGCGACCAACTTGTCGGAATGAAAAAACAAAGCGCCTCCAAACTCGAAACTTTTTATTCACTCTCCCCAACGTAATAGACTTTGAAACAATTTGAAAAAATACACACTTATACACAGAAACATCCATAATAAATCTTCTGTACACGTAGGAATGAGGCCGCAAAATAGGCCCGCCAAAATCCGGACGAATGGTCACTAGAGCACTTGATATTATCACACGCGCATCTCACTCATGGCCGCTTGCGGCACTCGCATGTTCCCTTTGTTGTTGGCCAACAAAGGCTGGCTTTCTGGCGGACTTTTGGTCCGCGGGGGCGGCGGCGGTCGAGGCACGCTCATCGGCATCGTCGCGTTGCCATTTGGAGGCTGCACCAACCCCTGCTGTTGCATCTCGGCAATCACGCATGCCGTGTTGTTCATCAGAGTCGAGTTCTTGGGGAGGGTCATACTTCCGGGGTTGTAGTTCTGGCCGTAACTGGAGGCGTTCTTCGGGAGGGTCATGCAGTTCTGCATCATCACGCTGGGGCTGGGGGGCGGCGCCTTCAACGTGTTGCACATCTAACAAAAAAAAAAACATCGACTTTACCCAAATTTTTGACTCACTTGTATGTTGCTGGGGCACAAATGTTGTTTGTCATGTTGAGCATTCGCGGCCATTATCATCGCCGAGGTGTCTTGCTCGACGTCCACGATCACATTCGCACTCTGCGAATGCCCCATATGGTAGTGCCCATGCTTGGAAATGGTCTCAAATGTGGCTTGATTTCGACTTTGTTGCTGTTGGAGTGACTTGACTTCCATCCGCGTCTTGTCCCTCTGGTAGTACACTCCGGCGAAAATCAACACATTGAGAATCAACAAGGAGCAACCAATAGCAATGGTGACACTCAAAGCCGTGCTGTAGGCGGCGTAACCCGCCGCCTCCAGACTGGCAAGAGTGTCACTCGAGGTGTTTTGGTTCTGGTAAGTTTGGTGGTTGAAATTTCCCGATGAAACAACGTTGACACAAGTTGTTACGATCGTGTCCATTGTGGTGGGGGACTCTAACCCGGAAAGACTGGAGTTGGGTCGTCGACGGAATAGCTCCATCGTGGGGTCGTAATAACTGACTCGAGATAAGGGATCAGGGCGGACGGCCCCGTCGTACAAGTCGGCGTTATTGTGATTCCTGAAGAGATTGTGTCTGGCCACGACGTCCTCCATTCCGGCGCGGTGCAACTCCGGGATCAGACGCAGCCACACGCTTAATTGATGGGCCCGGAAATGGTTCTTCATCCGGGGTTTCATACCTATGGACAAATATTGACACACATTTATTACTAGAAATTTGAATCGTGCGATCGATTTTGAATTAACGTGTCAGCCCCTATCAGTAACTAATTCCTTTCCGTATCGCTTATGATGTATGACGACAGAAGCAGCATCGCCATCTTGCGTCTGTAATTACCGCTCTTCTTGACGTGACTCGTGCAAATGTCTGAGGATATCCGAGATGTATGCGAGTGAAATGATCGCGCTCTGGTTATAAATCTGCTCGTCCCGGAGGATCAACCACGTTCCATCTCTGTTTATCACTGTCTTTGCTCTTCGTTCCGCCCTGCGTCTGCAGATACGCCACTTATCTGCTATTTAAAATGCGCTCGACGACACTCACACGCCGCAAGACCGCCGGCGCTATCTCTTCGACTAAGCTGAATTAATTAATACAAAGAGGGGCTTTTCTAAACGGAGGCTCACCTGGCCTACTCGATTCGCAAACCGCACTGAACGAGGGTCATCAGACAACAACCGCATAGCTCGCCTGAAGCACGGCCTCTACATTATCTCACAAACAAGACAAATGTTTCGCTTCAACGTAATTGCTGCGATAATGCTAATGTCGATGCACTAATCGAGAACTTTTCTATTTTTTTCTGCTGGAATAAAACTCTCCAGACCTTTTGCAACCTATACACAAATACGGCAACAGTCGCTCCAACGTAATCGAGAGGGTTTATATGCAAATTCAATTTTTTCCGAGAAAGCGGCAAACTCCCAAAGACAATGAAATATTTTTCCGCGATACTACCAAGCGTATTATTTTCCCCAAACTATGAACGATTTAACAACGCTGCTACCAATTTGCAACCAAATAAAACAAAGCTATACGTTACGAAACTTTTTTATTAACTTGTGACTCGAATCTCGAGACGATATTAAGCCAAATCGCACCCCAACCAAATATTTAACCCATTTTGTGCCTCGTCTGACACGTTTCGTTTCCGATAATTCAATTTACTCATCTCAAATTCGCACTCTCAAAGATTATCTCTTTTGCAAATTCTACTAATTAACGTAATTTAAAAAAAAATTAAATTCAGGGTGTAGGTGCTATTCCAAGGTTAAGTTTTGATAATTTGAGGAGTTTTCCAGGGCTTGCTTTCCTAATGGTTAATTTCATATTCTTTCCGGCCTCTCGCGACTGAATCCCAAGCAGGTCAATTGAATTTGTTGTGTGCCGCGAGCATTATTTCTTTTCCTCTATCTGCTGGAAAAATTACGTTAAGATTTCTCATCATCAACAAAGCTCGTTCGAGAGTTAGATCCTGATTAGATTATTTCGGTTAAAGTCGTCGCAGGTCTTGACCAATCTCAAGTTGAAAAGCGGCGCGCTTTTTTCATCTGGAATCGTGATGGGGAAACAAAGAAGAGCGAAACGTGAGTCTGCAACATTCCAGCTTGACGCTCCATCAGCCAGATGGCGACACATGCGGCCATTCCTTAAATTGAAATTAGATAGACGCAAAGTTTCCAAGTTGATCGACAGTTGGTGCTGCTCGACCTGATTCGAAATTAAATCACGTCGTCGACCAGACGGACAAAATTCCAGCTTTTGTTTGGCGAAAGTTGCATCTACTTGGGATGAGATAAGTAATTGGCTATTAACAAGGGGGATTGGTAATTTAGTCGCGAAGATCGAGATCGAAGGGGAGCTCGAACAGATTAAAAGCTTTCTAAAATATTAGCGCTCTCTTCGTTCCGAGTTAATCCTATTGGAAGCACATCGGAATTGACTCCTTTATGTATCGGACCCCGACACCAGACAAGTTTATAAACACGCTTTTAGCTCAATTAAACAATGGACAAGTTTATTTCCCATCTATCCTACCACTTTCTTTATCTCTTGATTTGGTAAAAACCCAAGTTTGCAAATCTGAGTCAAAGTTTCTGGCTCACGTCCTCATAATGCGATTATCTCGACGATAGGTAAGCAATCCTAAGATAGATAGGGTGATAACGGGCATCTTCTCCCACTATAACTTCAAAGCGAAGCTAATGGCTAACAAATCAAGCATGAAATGACGTCGTCCCTCTCCCTCTACCACTTATCAAAACCCTCTCGGGCGTTTAACGTATTCGTCCAAGTCCCATCTTCATGAATATTTCAACTCTTGGAAAAAAATCGAGAAATTGAAAGTTAGCAGTGCTTCCAAATCCCAAGCTTTATTAACAATGACCTCGGAAACACACGATTGTCACCTGAATCTCAACCGATCCATCAAAGCTACTCAATTAAACCGGGATCCGAGAACGAAGCGAGCTTTAGAGCTTTGGAGGGAATCCCCGGTGCCTTCGTCTTTTCTTGAGCCGATTCTAGTTCATAAGTTTGCTAAAGTTGGTTTGTGCTAAACTCGTACTTAAAAATGAATCACGACTACACAAGCAACGCCGCCAAAAAGTTCCAGCATAAGCTAAGTTCCAGAGCTTTCGGCATTAACGTATTAAGTTGGGCTTGAAGCTTACACTGAATCGGCTCATTTTAAATTAAAGCACAATTCGACCAACAATCGTCCTCAAATACATGGCCTTGTGGCTCGAAAAACAACTGACTTTGTGCTAGTCCTTCGTTTTCAGTAACAGAGCATGCACTTATTTTTTCAGTTTTTTAGGTTTTTGTTTATTTTTTTCAATTATTGTATCTTTTTTTATATTCAATAAATATCGAAAGGTAAGCCGCTGCTCATAATTCCATTTATACCGATAATTCTAAAACAATTCCAAATTTAAATAAAAGTAAACTGATGTGATATTGATAGTCTGTACTTGATTAAATAATTTTTGGATATTATTATTTCATATTTGAGTAAGTATTTTTACTATAAGACTATATTCCATATTATAATAGTATTTCAAAATTGCTATAATTGTAATTACTGTTTTGGTTTTTGCATTTTTATTTAATCTTTTGTTTTTAATAACTACATACTACTTTGAAATGTAATGTTAGTTGCTTCAAACAATTTTTCAGGCTCATTGTGAGTATTGTTACTAATAATACCCTGCTTTGTGTTAGCTATATTAAAAAAACACAATCAAAAATTATTTTAAAAACGTAAAATAATACTCCCTATTTATTCGACGAGTTTAAGTGTAAATCAGCCGCTTTAGTTCACGAGTGTATTTTCAAACTACGAGTGTTAACGAGTGGTTTATCATCCACGAGGTGGAAAAAATGAACCGATTTACAACATTTTATTCTTTGAACAAGGCTTGAAATTGCTTTAAATCTGTTAAAGATAATCTGACGTTTCGTATTGAGAAATGCCAAACAGTTGTCGAAACTTCCTTACACACGAGAAAAATCATAAATTTTGACAGTGTCAAAGAATAAAATAAATTTTGAAGAACAGAATTAAAAATAAACAAAATATAAAAATTGGAAAATAATATTAAAAACAAATACCTATTACAAAATCTGTTTTGAATTCTCGTACTTGCTATTAATTATTTTAATTTGATCATTATTTAATAGTAGAGTATAAAAAATTACTTCTGGACCAGGACATTTAGCGTCTTAAAAAACAAGGCAGAATCTTACAAATTTAGCTGTTTTCCTAAAAGTCCACAACCAAAAAAGGCATAAAACCTCTCAAAAAGCATTCATTTTTATGCCCCCAAAAGTACCAAATATCTGTAGACCATCAAAAATTGGGCACATGAAAAAACACATCATCGGACTCTTGTAAATGAGTAACTTAGGATTGCAATAAAGTAACTGTATTTTCCAAAGCTTGAACACGCAGAAATTTCGTTTTTTGTAACACCTGCAACTTCACATTTGATTTCTTCTCTAAAAACTATAAATTGTTGCTTTATTATAGCTTCAAATTGTGAAATAGATATCGAATTAGATACAGCTGGACTGCAAAATGGGCAATTCCAAGATTTTTTGTTTAATATAATTTCATTTAGGGTGGCATCTGGCAAAGAAATACATTTTACATGATGGTTGGTAACCCCTTCACAGAAAGTACAACTGACAGGCATATTATTTAACAGCAATTGATCGGTATTCGATAATAAAAGAGATTTTTAAAAGATACTGGCCGACAATAAAAGAAATTGGATACGATAACAGACTTATTGGTATGCTCCAAGGTTTACCGCTTATCACCAAAGAATTTTTATGAAAACAACATCTATAACACAATTGAAACACCCATAACTCTTAACAAGGGCACTTCGCACTTATCGCAATTGATTAATTAATAAATTTAAAGAAAGCAGAAGCAAAAGGTAATAAAAAAGAAAAGAAAAAAATTTTTCACTGATACCATTCAATTATATCCCTCTAATCATGAAGAATTGTATCAATGAAAAAGAAAAATAGTTGTTACCGAAACAATTGTTATGGGAAAATAGCAGAGAGATCACGAGCGCAACTTAACACTGGCACACCGGTTCACTTTTTTATACTCTACTTTTAATTTAAAAAGTTCTTCTGAACGGAACAAAATAGGAACTTACGTTATAATTATATTATATTTTTCTTCAACCCAAACAAAATCTACTTTTGCCTATATAAATTACCTGTCACTTATTTTATATTTTTTTAAAAATTTGATTTTAAGTTCCCGTTACAATCATCGTTTTTTTATTACTTTTCTGTTATACCACTTTTCTGCATAATACGTATATCCTGTAAAACTATGTAATTAATTTTAATGTATTTTGCAACATTAATATTGCTTTTTCCAAGTCTTTATTTGAAAATGTCTGTGTCATTACTTTCATCTGTAGCATTTGCAGTAGAAAGTCTTTTCTAAGCGTTTTTTTAGGCGTTTAATTCTGTCTGTAACACATTTTTGAGATTTCGTTCTTTTGTGTTTGTGTTTTTACTTGAAGTAAATCTGAAATAAGTTTGAGAATCTAAAGGCAATCTGTAAAGAAGTTTAATTTTATAATGCTTAACATTCTGCTTTATTGTGTATCTTTATTATTTAAGTTAACTTACTTATTACAGTACAAGTTATGTATATTCGCATAAGTGCTTTCAAAGAATTTCTAAGAATTTCAAACAATAATTCTAATGTATTCTAAATAATTCCAAATTTCCACGTAATTCCACTAACTTGTACACGATAATTCCACGCTGGTTTATTCCCCGCGAAATAATTACACTTGATTTTTTAACACTGTAAAATTTTGCCAAATACACCGAAAACGGGGCACTCTGTGTGATACAAATAAATCCACGTTGAGTGAGTTGCAAGGCCGCGTCTGAATAATTTTTCTGGGAGCTTTTAGCCCCGTTGAGTGCGCTTAATGTATTTCCCTGCACTCAGTGTCCTTCCGGTCCAATTTGCGCCTCCACCTGATTCTCTTCCTCCTAATAAAGCAATAAGTGTTAAAAGGCGATGATCTGGGATATCGCGCATAAATCTTCCCCCCAACGAGCACTTAGTGCATAAAGTACGCTCAGCGGTTGCATCGATCATAAAACAACTCCTCTTCGCCCATAATTTAAAAATCTATTTCAGAAAGGTCGTACTTCATATGGATGGAGTGAAGTGTCTGGAACGTTCGGACATCAATATTCAAAGTTTGTCTTCGGCGAGATCATTTATTACATGTCTCCCTTTAACTGCAGCCAATTTAAACGGCCCGAGACGATTATACTGAAATCCTATCTCGATTTTGGGAAAAACTCACCTATCTCGAGGTACTTCTGATGGACCGAGTCGTATTCGTCCCAGACGATGGACCGAAACCGATTGCGTTCTTTCGAAGCAGCAAGGATGGGTTCCTGTTTGTGTTGCTCGTTGGGGTTACTGAAAATAAATAGAAAAAATTATGCAAAAATGTGGTTTTCGTGTTAATTAAATTTGTAAAGGATGAAGGAGTTGAAAGTGAGCGCTTTGCCGGCCTGTAATTAATCGCTTACCTTTCAAAGAAACACAAACCGAGCTTATAATAGAGTGATACGTGGTTGTTTGATGTGTCATTTAATTAAATTTTGCTCGATTTGGTATTACGACACGAGAATTAATATATCAATCAGATACGTGGCACAAACTTTAGTTATTAACACCGAACCGTTTCTTGTTAATTGGTGTTATTAGGGTACAAGTTATTTTTAAGTTGGGGGAGCTTTTAGCCAAGTTTCGTGTATGGTAGCATCAATCAGTTAATCGATTCTTGCGACTGGCAGTTGCGCACATCCGGCATTTCAGGTTAATTGAACATTAACTATGTATAGTGGTTTTAGTTTTGTTGTCTTAATCAAAAGCTAGCGTTGAAAAAATTAATTACGGAAAAACATAAATAAACGTCTACGATTCGCATCTACTAGATATTGGCTGCGAGCTTGGCGAGTTTTCGTCTTGTTTTCTCCGAGAGTAATTTATAGGATCTGATTATTTGGAATTTTGTGAAACATAAGGCGTGGCTGTGGAGGGCATTACACTGCACGTGCTTGAATGTTTGCATTCGATGACGGCAAAGTCGATGTTTGTAAACATTCAACGCCTGTTTATGTTTCTCTACGGTATGAAGTTTCCTTTCAGATGGTGTATTCCTATGGATTTCTTATCCATATCGGGACAACAAAGGCTGAATTTCCTTCAAGTCACGTCCTTTGCATAAAAACCGTATTCACCTTACACAAATAGGATCAAGATGGAAAATATTTGCAGACATTATCTGAGGCCTCGAGGCTAGAAAACGGATCCGGGATGTTAAGACAATTATGGACAATAAAGGGTTGAACGTATTTGGAGTAAACCTCGCGGAGAGGCAAGTTTTTTCACATTTTTTAAATCGGAGTTACATGTGGTACTAAGAAGCTTTTTGCCAATTATACCAACACAAATTTGACTAAAACTGTCTAACTTGAAAGAGTGTAAAAGTTTACATTTATCTTTTTCAAAATTTGGGTGTTGGAAACTGGAAACGGTGGTCAAATCCTATCTGATTTACAAATGTTTTGTCGAAATTTTCGAAAGCTCATGGCTTAGCCGCTCCCTAATTTACAAATGATTTGGAGAAAAGCTCGCGGGTAGACAAGTTTTTCCTCATTTTTTAAATCAGAGTTATCAAGAAGCTTTTACCAATTGTGCGTTTGCACAATTGGAAAATTTGACTTAAACTATCAGACTCGAGAGGGTCTTTTTTTATAATTTTTTGAATGCCAAAATTTTAATATAAGCTCATATTAGATCTTCAATGTTTTCAAAATTTAGGTGTTGGAAACAAGAGATTCAACAGTGTTGTCCAGTTTGGCATGTTTGGAAAGCTCGTTTCATTACTAGTTTAACGAAAAAAATAGCTTTACAAAAATAATCTCGCACTAAATCTTAGATATAAACAAAAATTATCAGAATTTTTCAGATTTTTTTGGCTTGACATTAATATGTACGTATAAAAAATAAAATAAACAACTACTTACTAAATATTTTATATTAATTTTTTGTAATAACCGTAAAAGGAAAAAATACACTTAAGAGGAGTAATTCTGTCCATCGACACGTTCAAATTTTTTGGTATTTATTTACAAATTTTTCTTTCAATTAAGTTTCTGAAAATTGTTGATTTTCAGTAAAAAAACATTTTTAATTTACAAATAACTCTTTTACAACTCAGTTTTTTTAATTCAACTTTTATTTAACAGAAAAGGAAAATTGATAAAATTTATCGATCAAAATTCAAATTCGAACTTAATGTTTGCAAAATTCAGAACGTATAATGTATTTTTTCTCCAGTTGTATTAAAATATGACGTTTTTAATGTAATTTTTGAAATATATATTTTTTTCATGTTCCTGGTATCTTATCTTGGATTTTTTTCTGAGGCGTGAGTTCTGAAACACCCTGCCTTTCACTAAAAATACGAAACCTAGACAAATTTTAGTTTTATAGAACTTTAAAAAGCATTAAATATTAGATTTTTTTAAAAGGTATAGTGACAGCAAAACCTGACGATTTTCTGTAAAAGGGTAAAAATTCGGAATCAGTTCGAAACATTATGTTGCTGAATTAAAACTAATTCTGTCAACTTCTTAAACTTTATTTATTTCAAAGAATTTTATGTATAGAAAAGTTGATTTCGTTTTAAGCAAACATGAAAACTGTGCTACATATTCGCAACTTCGCTCATTTTTAGTGGTCAGCCTTTCTCAGGCAAGTGTGGATGCTGTTTGGCAAATGGTGTTGCTTATTAAAATTGATTTGGTATAAATAAAGGATGTGGGTGTCGTAAATCCGGCATTAGCGGTTCAGTCCCGACCTTCCTCCACATCAGTCAGAATAGCACAACAAGTCTTGGGATTCTCGGTTCTATGCGAATGCAGATCATCGATGGTAGGAAGTTTAATTAATATCAAATTACAGATGAACCGAGATCATAAAGTCGGTCTTAATTAATTAACTAGTGGGATGAGATAATTACTGGCAGGTTTATCGAGGTTCCCCAAAGGATCTCACGGCGTTCGCGTTATTCCTCCCCAACATTACCTGAGAAAACCTTAAATTAGCATTTAAAATCTCGGCGATGCGTAAATATAAATTAAATTCATATTTTATAAGCCGCGGGATTAGAACGCCCTCTCGTATGCAAATCGCGTATATACATTTCGCAATTTGGATTTCCTCGAAGAGACAAATTGACGGGGGCCCACATTTGGCACGACTCGGGAGGCCAAACCCACTTTTGCAAAATTCAATCCGAGCAAAACACCATTTTTATTACAGCTAAGTAATTGTGTTACGATGAAGATCGCTATCTCTTTAATCCCGAATGACATGCACAAGCCGCTGTGATCGATACCGCGCAAAAACACGAACTTTTCCCAATTATCCCATATAATCCCACAAAAACAAGAATAAAGAGATTATTTCCAAACATAAATTCACGCTCACCTTCACGAATAAATCAAACGATATTACGTTATTGATGAATGTCCCCGTTTTTGCGATAATCAAGGAACACTCACCCCGTCCGCGCAAAATTGGCGATGTAGATGATAACAGCCTCGGCCAAAGCCAACTCGGATCGGGTGTAGTTCTTCGGGAAGTGGTTGAAACCGTCCACCAGAGGCGCCCCGAAGAAGTAGGGAAGCTCCTCGCCGTGAACCGTTCCCATACGCTGAAAACAAAATGAATTTAGCGCGAGTTAAAAACTCGCTTTTTGCACCCTCTGAAAAGTAAATAATTGAGTGCTCTTGGGTGTACTTTAGCGCTATTTTTAGTTGTGTGTATCAGGTTTACAGTGACAAAGCCGATTACGTTCATAAGCCTGTCCGATGTTGCTTGTGTCTTTTCTGAAAAAATCGTCGTCGACACGCTGTCCTTTCGGTTGACGCGTGAAAATTAGGGTCTTAATTTTTTCGGTAAATTTCAAGGGTCGTAAACTAAAATTATTCAAGCGACAATTCATTATTTGAAACGGTTTTTAAATTTACCCTTTGAAAAATTAATGGAAACTCGTCGTGGCGACTGGGACATAATCGTTTGAAACTCGATTGAATTATCCGAAAACAAAAGTCTAACAAGGGAAAAAATCATTTGTTTACTCTGGTCGATGGTAATTAAAAATTCTGGCGCCTCGGTTAACTGAGAAGTGAAAAACAATTCGATTTTTTCTCCGGGCCTCGGCGAAATTAACGTAACAGATGCGATCATTTTCGCGTGAAATTCTCCAATTCCAGTTTTTTTATTAGCAGAATTCCGGCGTTTCACGTCACTAAATAAACGAGGTACATCTTGATGGAATCGCTGTCGATCAACGCAAATAACCATCATTAAAATTTCAATTCCTTCTGTTTCGCAACCGTCGTTAATAAAATCAATCACGGCTCGAGTAAATTCCAGTCGGCAACAATGATCTGATTTGACGTCCGGCTGAAATCTGTTGATCTGAAAAAAATGTATCCTTGACAAAGTCGTGCCTGGAGTTCGTAACAATCCGTTTTGGCGGAAATCTACAACAGCTGTAACTTTCGTGCCAGATGAGTTTATGAGATTTTGATGCACAGTCCCTTGCGACATCTTGTGCAAAAGCACAATTAAAAAGTTTCGTGGTTTCACGCTAAATTATGTCTTGTTTTTTCTCAAGGTCTTAAGCGGAGTTCACCGATTTTGGATTGCTCAGCGAATACTGATTTTGATGGCTAATGAATTTCAAACAAGTTTAATTGCAAGAACCAAGTCAAAGGAATTTCTAATTAAGCCATCATAAAACACATTACAAGAAAACGGAATCTGACTAGAAAATCTGCAGCCAATAGGCTTTTACTTGCAACAGAAACTCTATTGCTAATTACACTAAATAACTCAAATCTAGCTTAATCCAGAAAGAAACAATCTATTCACTTCCAGATTCAAAGTGCAACTTGAGCTCATCAAAAGCTGAAATTCATTTCCAGTATAATACGATGAAAAGTGTCCCGACAAAGTGTTATAGCATCACATTTCAGCTCTTTCTCGCGTTACGAAGATGGTATTAGTAGTTTCTATCGTATTGCAGCCACTTTATACAATATTTCCCCGATATTACATCCAAAATCGCCATTAATCCCGCTCTTGCATGCACCCTATTAGTGCTATTATTCGCACATATGCGCGAAACGTGACCGGCGACACGACACCATAATGTCCATTACCACATCCATGCATGTCGTTTCTCTCATACCAAATAGTTTCAAATTTTTGTTGGTGAAAAGGCCTTACCTGGGGATAGTCCCCATCTTTCGTCTGATAGTCAAACACGTAGAAGAAAGTCTTGGACCCTGAGGGTTCTTGCCCCGGTTGCGGCGGTTTGGCACTTAACAAATCCCCCGTTTGCACCAGCGGCGCCACAAATTGTGCATCACTCAACGCCGCCACTGCTGCGTCTCTTGTATTAATCGGATGTTGAACCGTCCTCTCCCAATCCGTGTACTCGTTCACTACCGTAAAGAAAATCTCACTTAAATGATACGTATACGCATTTCTCACATAAGTTCTTATAATCTTGTCCCTCCTCTCGCCCTCAAACCCGGCTTGGATGTCCGTCGCCGAAAACCTCCACAAAGCCTCGCTGGTGACCACCCCGAACAAAAGATCATACGGATTACTCCCTCGAGGAGTTAGCGTCGCCTCACTCCTCTTCATATTAGCATTCACCGGCCCCACAAAACTCTGCAAGTCCGAGGGCTTGAAATACGTCACCAACTCCTTGGCAAAGTCCGCTTTGATCACGACACCGTCGACGGAAGGCCCGAATGCACTTAGATACGATGGAGGAGTAACGTCGGCTTGGAGAAGGTCGTGAAGAGGAGTGTCCCGGAGACAGTCAACGATAGCTTCGTGGTCTTTGCCGACATCCTCGGGGATGCTACAGTTGACTTCTCGGGCAAGCTTCACGGCGTAGTTGACAGGATCTTCGACGAGGGCCCACGAAGACAAAGCGGAGCCGGAGAGGAGGATTGCGCGGTGGAAAAGTCCAGGCATGACTGTGGGCGAAATCATGAGGAAGTTGATACAAGCAGCACCGGAGCCGTGACCGGCGAGGGTCACGTTGTCGGGGTCGCCGCCGAAGAGCGCGATGTTCTGCTGGATCCAGTGAAGGGCGGCGATCTGGTCCATGAGCCCGTAGTTGGCCACGCGGGCTTTCAGGTGCGGGGCGGGGTTCGCGTTTAAAAAACCTGCAAAAAATAAAAAACGAAGACGTAGCACGAGTTTTAGAAAGAAATCACAAGCAAATAATATAAATATGCATTTATAAAAAAATAATTAAACAAAAAATTAGAAATATTCCAATTTCTTAATTTGGCATTAATTGTCATCTAAGTTTTTTATCAAATAAAAAGCAACCAAAAAGATGAAAATTCGATAAAAAACGGTCGTGAAGTATTTAAAAGTTGTAAAATATGTAAAATGTAATTATTGCATTTTTCATGTGCCATTGATGCTTTTAACAAATTGTGTGTGTATTGTCGTATCAACAAGAAATTACTGCCTAAGATTTTGGGATATTCGTGAATAGGTTGCCATTTTGGTTAGGTTGGTTTCTGGTGACAAACAAAGATATCATAACTAGTGTCAAAATGTAAGTTAAGGCATCTGTTAGCTTGTACGTATAATTAAATTGTTGACAACAGGTTGACAAAAAACGTCAACCTCAACAACAAAAGGTAACCAACCCTAGGAATTCAAAATTGCTTCTGAAAATTCTAGGTACCAACAAAATAAAAAACGTAATTTTACTAAAAGTTCAAATCCTATGTGGTAATTTCTTGTTGACAAATCTGTAGCTTGCCGACGTGAGCAGTGACAAGACTCACTACTAATGCATCGTATCGTATACAGGATGTTCGGTACAAGTCGACCCGGCCGATAACACCTAAACTAACTTTTTTTTCAAAAACTAGATTTTTAAATAATACTATTCATTCCTCGTTTTCTTAGTAAATGCATCAAATTTTTTTTGCTACCAAATTTAGTTTTTCAAGTGAAACACCTAAGTTTTTTGTTCGAAACAATAATAATTGGCATGAAAAATATGATAAATCACTATTTATTATTTTACTTTACATAATGCACTCAGAAAACAATTTAAATTTTTGAATTTTATTGCAAATTTTGCAACGTAGGAGGATTTTACTTGTCAAGGTATTCATGCAAAAAGCAATATGCTTGGATACCGTTTAATTGTTAGTTTGACAAAGCCTAATTTGTTAATAAATCTTATTGAGATCTTTAATAATGGATGATATTAATTACGACGAATTGGTAAATCAGCTTCAAGTGTTTTTTTAAGTGCAATAAAAATAGAGCGAAAGCTGAAAGACAGTATAGAGAAAAATACCCAAACAGAGTTCACCCAAATCGTTGGAAATTTAGTCGAATTGAGAAACAACTGAGACGAATAGGTTTGCTTTTTAAAAATACAAAACCTGTGGTTCTTTGTGAAGAACAAAAAAATAGAAATCTGAATGTTCTGTTATCAGTCGAAGAAAATCAAAGAGCTTCCATAAGAGAACTCGCTCAACAACTGACAAATCAGATTTGTCAAACCAACAATTAAACTGTGTCCAAGCATTTTTTTATTCACAGTTTTCCTTTAAAATTAAAAATCAGGCTACGCGACCAATTTCCTTATAACATTCTAAGATTTAAGATGTTCTTTGATTGCATTGTGTTACGCAAAATGTAATAAATAGTGGTTTACAGTATTTTTCATCTCAATTATTATTGTTTGGAGGAAAAGAAAAAAAAACTAAATTTGGTAGCATTTCCGGTAACACCGGATGTGTTAAAAAATTTAATACATTTATTAAGAAAGCCAAGAATGAATATTATTACTTAAATATTTACTTTTTGAAAAAAAAAAGTAAGTTTAGGTGTTATTAGGCGGAGCGACTTGCACCGAACACCCTGTATATTCTGCATACTATTCGTAGTGTTGTTCAAGGCTCAATAGTCCCGTGTAAAAAAAAATCACCAATAAATACTTCACCGTTATTAATACATATGAGAGAAAATAAAATAGTGAACTTAAAAACACTTTCTTTTACCTAAGATTCCTAGCCTATAGTTAAGTGTGACTACCACGAGGTCGGCATAGGCCGCTAGGACACTCCCGTCGTAAGGATTGCCCGAGTTCCACTCGAAGGATTCGCCATGTATGTAGACTATCACAGGATGACGAGCTTCATTGGAAACTGAAAACCCAATACAAACTTTTTGATTAATTAAGTTTCACAGAAAGCGTTCCACTGCACCTCAACAATAGTAGAATAACAATTAGTTTTACTTTTCTTGGCTTGTGATTGTTTTTGTAGTAAACAGTTCTGCGATTGCCGGCGGGTGCAATACGGCGCCACCTCTTACTCTCGACCGCATTCATTAATTTAAGGCTGGATATTCGGTAATTAAACACTTCACAGCGACACACAAAAGAGCGACGTGTGTTTGGGGGCGGTTTTATGGATTTTTCGCAAGCGAAAAAACGTATAATTTTGTGTTAGTTTTATGTGAGGTGTGCGTTGGCACATTAGAGCACGCAATTCGCTCGGATCTGGGCTTATTTGAGATGGTTCCATTTCGCCAACGTCTTGGGACTTTTATAAACATATTTGTATTTTTATGTAGTCGAGTTTACGACACTCAATTTTCTCTAGATTTACAAAAATTGCTTTTAATTTTCTTTTATCTGAGAGTTTTATCGATTGCACTTGCGTCACAGACATGGAAAAAGAAATGCACTCAAGAGGAGATTGGATGTCATAAGGTTTAATCTGACCAACTCTCGACGTCTTGCTTTATTTGATAATTTCATATTGTAAAAGATTGTATTACAAAAGAAAAACTTTTTTTCTTAGTTCGAGTTGGGTGTCGTGGTGCAATTACCGTCCCGAAGTAGTGTAAGGAATTTACGGGCATTTCATGAACACGAATTCGCTGTTCACAGAGCTGTTATGTTAATGACGACAAAAAGGTCTTACGGGCGGGTCGCTGACATACGGCGGCGACACTTCGTGGCGAAACTGTGCAATTTATGATAGGTATAGGAAAAGACGTGTCGAAAAAGTTCGCTTTTCCGATTTGCATACATAGTGCCGTGGTTTATAGTATCTCCGGCGTCCACTGTTTGAAATATGCCACGACCTGATTGTAAAGAGGGAAAAATCGCGCCGATATTTTAACAGACCGATATTGGCTGTACCACAAACGCGATTTACATCGGCCAGCCTAGACGACTCGACCTTTACCGGAATAATCCCGCGAGGTTTTTACGGCCTCTCGACAAAATAAGAACCATAAAACCTCTAAGTTTTATTGTTTTATTCGCGACGGAGATGCCCGAGCGAACTTCAAATCTATCTAATAAATTCACATGAGCGAGGATCGTATATTTTACATGGTTTGGGGCAAGGGGTCCGACCGGAACACACCGACTCCGGGGGTAAACACCCGGAACAATCTCTTTTAGTTTTGCGGTTTTCTGCGAGTCACTCACACTTTATTGAGCGGACAAACCCAACACAAAAGACTTCTTTGAATGTTTTTATTAGAGTGCCGGAGGCAATTATTGGGTGGGTTAAATTGCAACAGTGTTTTTGTGATGAAAAGGTAGCGCGATGATTAGATAAGCAAACAATAAAAGCAGGTGGAAGTGTTTCCTTGGCACCGAGATAGCCCCAGGTTATAGCTAGCAAGAGACATCGCATCTCTGTAAATGTGTCTCTGAATTGGATTCTCTCTCCGGAAGTTGGCCCGGAACTGCCATGGCGACTGGTCACGCGATTGATTTTGAATTTCCATATAAATCCAAACGTTTCCAGCTGAAGGCTACTTTTCAGTGCTTTTCTCGCCGTTGACTGAATTGTCAAGTGGAAATACACGCTAAACTTCCATAAAATCGTTTTAGTTATTTCGGCGACTTTCGTCGACTCTCTTATCTAACCTCGTCCACATAAATCACCCTTTATTCGATCCCTTGCTCTATTTTCATAACCGACACGACGCTTAATCACTCCTAAATACGGATTCGGCCAAGAAAACAACTTCTGACAGCACGCCCTCGAGCGACTGCTTTAACAACGCAAATAAAAGAAAATTAACGAAACAAACAGATTAATTTGAACGAGTTTGCTCGGCATTAATTTGAAAGTTTGCCAGAGACGCTTTCCGGATTTTTTACAAAGAAACAAATTAAGCTGCAACGACCCAAGTTTACACGTGGCAATACCAAATTGCAAGACGCAAAAATACGACACTTTCTAACATTCTCAGCAAGAATTAAAAGAACCGGCGATAGCATAATTGTAATTGTGAGCCGAATTAAAAACTAATTTTCTTTTGTGTGCAGGTTTGCTCAACGTAATAAAAACGATAAGACGAACAGCCCCATCTCGGCTCTAAAGCCACTTTTAAGTTTCCTTTTTACATCACGATAAAGACGTAAAAGCGCGACAGCCTGTCGCTAAATCCATCCATTTAAAAATGTCGGCTCGAGGAACTTTTTGATTTTATAGCGTCGTTAGTTTATCGACGAGTGAGGTCAAGGTGCTGAAACTCCCTTTTCAATTGTTAATTCCGCACTAAATATTTTTGGGCTTTGTTTGCAGCCAGGAACTCTTTTTGCCTCTCCCATACAAATTGGAACGTCGGCCTTATCGCGAATCTATAAATTTGCCAGATTTATCACTAGTTGGGGAAAGAACACGGACGTGACTAATCACCGGCCTTCTACTAATAATAAAAAAAAAATGAAAATGTACTCGGTAGTGAAACAAAACGTTCTTTTAGCTTTCTTTTGCTCTTTTCGTCTCTGCTGAGCCCACTGCGATTCTCGTCAAACTCCCGTCAGTTGCCAAGCCAGGCGCGCAAAGTGCCCTCTTTCGCCATAAATAATAAAAAATTCCTCTTGTCGGCAATTCTTCTCAACAAAAACGTGACGGTTGACAGTTTCATTTCCGGTCAAGGTTGCGCAATTATCCGTAATAGTGTGATTGCGTATGAAATGCAATTCATTGTTCTGCGGCCGAAAATTCCGCCAGCTAATTCGGTTCGATTCCAATAACGTGGTCGAAAATCCGGAGCTTCCATTAAAATCCCCCCAGGCTTGAGGGACGCTGTTGTGCGGTTGGGGCATCGGCCCTCGACTTGCCGCAAACGCTAAGTGAAGTTTAATAACGCGCGTGTACATTTTTATTGCCGAACAGGAATGATTTATCGGACATTGCGTTCTGATTTAAACGATGCCAGCGGACACGAATCAAATTTTTATAGCCAATTAAAAGAATTGAATTTTGTTGAGATAAGTTTCGTATAATTGCAAGAACCCACATTGTTCAGCTGTTATCTTGAGCAATGGTTGTTTTTATCGGAGCCGCCTTAATCACTTCATCGGTGAAGAACCCAGGAGTTAGGTTTTTGTTTTCGAACACATAACTTCCACCACTTCGTTAGATGTTTTTCGGCGGATTAACGTGATGGAAACCTTCTTTTCTCCATTACAAGCCGCTTTACAAGCAAATAACCTTTCATGGATTTGCATTACTCGCCGTTTTATAATTTAGTATTTTTAACGTTTTTCCTTGTAATAAAATTAGGAGAAAAAGTGGAAGACGACGAGGTAATAAGATTAGCTCGGGGTGTGTTCGTTCTTGAGGGAATTGCGCGAATGTAAAGCTGTTTGATTGAAATTAGCTGGGGGATCGTTTGATGAGGTCCGGGTAATACATCGAGAGGCATTTATTTACGCGTTGGAGTAAATTAAGAAAACGAATCCGGGAATAAAAGAGAGAAAATAAACCAACTGATGGACAGACGTAGACAAACGTTCGCTGCCAAACCAAGCAGGGATTTACTCCGGGCTCTAACCCCCCTCCCCTCCTCAAATTAAAACTGATTAATGGAGCGTGCATACGTAACCGGAAATCTTAATTAATAAATAATTTTCCCGGAAACGCACGGGCGACAGAATAAGAAAACCTTCTTCGGGCACTTATCACCCGGATTGCCAACTTCGAAAATTCCATTCAGTCGACGATCCGCACAAAAACAATCTATATTTCATTTTCAGTCCGCTTTATTGAATCCGCAAAAAATCCACTGTACGAGATAGGAAAAAGGAGACGCATGCGTCATCCACAAGAAACTATTAAAGCAATAAAGGAGGAATAAATGTCTTCAGTTTGTGTTAATTGGTTTTTTAGTCGCTTCTGGACTGTGTTGTTAGAACACGGGTATAAATCCATTTTTCCTGAAAAGTCCCACTTCTCCACTCACATGTTTCAGGTTTATATTCGTCATAATCGTAAAAGTGTTTTGTTGTTAACTTAATTCACTTTGTTACAATTTGAGACGGAGAATCTATTGCAAGTTTGAAGCGATTTCTTCACCACCTTTTGTGATCACAACTGTACTACAGGGTGTTTCCGGATCAGAATCGAATATTCTAACCACTAAAATAATTCTTTGTTAAAAGTCAATTTAAAGACCAAATCCAAAAAATTGTTTTTCATTTTCTTCCCCTTTATTTTCAGGAGGCGTTCAGTGTTTGCCCTTTTCAAGTGAAAGTAAAAATATCAATGAAAATAATTTGCATTGAATGCTGACTAAAAATTTTAATGCACAAAAAAGAGACAACTTTGGGTACAAAATAATTATCAGGTGTTTCCACGCGTCAGTGCACATCAATTTAAAATCCAATTGTAAATCAAGTCATTGATTTACATGGCATGGCCACCGGGGTCACCAGATTTAAATCTGTCTGATTTTTTGTGTAGTTATATAAAATATCAGTTACAATAATTAATATCTTAGTTTTCAACCTCAAATTATTTTTTATTTTAACTCAGAAATGACGTGTTTTCAGTTTGACGTGTTTTGTTAGTGGTTAAAATATTTTCTGGAAATCCGCAAACACCATGTATAATAAATTGCTGAGCACACCACATATTCTCTAACAGATTCTAGTGGGAAATTTGCTAATTAATACGTATTGTCGGACACGATAATGGATCCCAAAGGATGTTGCAATGGCGTGATTTTTTTAAGTTGTGATTAAAACCACTAAACAATTCATGTGGAAATAAGAAAAGTTCCTTGGTTCAGGTTGTGGATTTACAGGTGTTGTTCTCTCCGCTTCTGAGTTTGGTAATTTGGAGGTAAACACAGTTTCGCCATCAGTTGTAATTAGTGTAAGATAGCA